ATATGAATATATATTATTGATCGAAAAAGATTGAATATATTGATAACAAAGAATTTATTCAATCAAAAAAGAAATAATAATATTCTCAAAACTAAGATAATAAATAATCTATCGAAAATCGAAAGATTCGAATATTAAATATATATATATCTATATCTAAAATTTTCATAATTTTTATATAAATAGAATGAATATGAATATTCATTATGAATTCGAATATTATTCATATTTCAAATTATTTTATTCGATTTTTCAATCCTAATCGATTTATATTCAATTCTTTATTCGAAATCTTTTTCTTTTCTGGAATGACTCTATTAATAGGCGATCGATATATGATTTTTGATGAAATCATATATATTCATTAACTACAGGCAAAATAGATATTAATATTTCTAGATTTATTATAGATATAACTATTTTCAATGATTCAGATAAATGAATAATAGAGCAAGTCAAGATCTATTTAAGATCAAGAGAAGCCTCAAGGGCTGCCATAGGCGATACAGACGCCTAGAGTCGCTTATCTTTATTGGAGTATTATTCCTCGCCTGCGGCTACGTGGTTAGCAAGCTCGCTACTCCTAACATCAAAGATTGCTTCCGTCGTAATTGTCGTGAGGCTCCGAACTAAATTTCCCCATACACGACAATCTAATTAAATCGAAGCGGCCTGGAGATATTTTGTGGTAATATTAAGATATATATATATAGATATTATAATATATCTCCGAAGCTTAGAAATCTTTAAATCGACTTACTATCTCGGAAAAATTCGATGAATTTTTTATTTAATAAATTAGAAGAACACATTTCAACAAAAAAAATTGAATATATTCAATCTTAATATCAAAAATTTTTTATCATCATCATATTTCGGAAGAGAAAATTTCATAATAAATCATATTTTAAATAAAGAGTTGGCATAAAAATCCTTATCTCATTCAATTATCAAAAAAGCACGGCTTTCTTATATTTCGATTCGTAATAATACGCTATTTCATTAACCACATGGGGAGACAAATAAGTGATAAATTAAATCTCAATCTCAATTTAATAATTTCAGAATCGAATCTTAGATTTAAATATAAATATTAAAAAAATAAATGCTTCTAATAATTATTTATTATTAATAGAGAGATTCACCCTAAATCATATTAAATATATTTATCTATGCCAAAGAATTGGACACGAATCGGATAATTTTCTAAAACAATATAATTCCAATAGATTTCGATTAAAAATCTAAATTGCTCGATAATATTGCGCTCTTTGTCTTTATCAAGTTTAATAATATTATTCGTGAAAAATCTCCTATGAACTTTAGATAATTCTTATCTTAAATCTCTCCATCGTGAAATCTTTGCAGAACGTCCGCACGCCGCTATTACTGCTACTATTTTTACGCCGGAAGGCGGAAGCTCAAGATGGCGTCCGGGCCGCAAGATGCCACGGACCGATGCCTGTGGAATCAAGATGCCGGCGGGCTAGATTACGTAGAGTAGAAGCAGCGGCTCTATTCCTAGGTCAAAATATATTTGAAAATCGGAATTTCAATTTATTAATAAGATTCAGTGAAATTTAATTATCTAGAAATATCGCACATAAAGATATGAAATTTGACGATATCTTATATCTAATCCTAAATTTTCTAGAAATATACTCATGATTCGACCCTTTTATTGGACCCAAAGGCAGAACCCAGATACCCGACCGAAACACCTTCAACTCCGCCAGGAAGCTGAAACCAAGAAGCAGCAAATCCGGAGCACACAGTATAAAAAGCCCGCAGACCCTGAAACCCCAATTCAAGAACGAAAGCGTAACACCCTGAAGCAGCAAACCCTAACCCTAACCCTAAACCCCCAAACCCTGAACCCCTAAACCCTAAACCCCCTAAACCACTAAACCCTCTAAACCCTAAACCCTCTACCCTGAGGCCCCAAAGTAGTTCCTTTTGGGGGGTTCATATACCGAATCTTATGCGGTAATCCCAAAAAGGAACTACTATGGGGCCTTAGGATAAACTCTACACCCGAATGTGCCTCTACCACATCCGCAAAGCCCCGCTCGGCTGCCACGTGGAGCGGAGTCCGGCCCCCCGCTGCCGACGGACTCAGCAAGAGGCCAAGTTAGGGTTTAGGGGGTTTAGGGGGTTTAGGGGGTTTAGGGTTTAGGGGGTTTAGGGTCGAGGGGCTTTTTAAGATTTAGGGTTTAGTGGTTTAAAGCGTTTAGGGTTTAGGCGATTTGAAGGTGGGGGAGATTAAGGGGTTTAGGGCTGAGTGTTACAAGACTCAAACTAGGGCTACAAAAAAGCACATAAGCAAAAGTAAGCCTAGGGATGTCCCATATAAACCCCCTTATAATGAAGCCCAATAAGGTAATGTAATGATATCCCTATAAAATGCTTATGCTTATGTGCTTTGGGGGGTCCCTAAGAGACGGGGTTTCTTGGTCTCTGTCGCCAGGTGTCGGGATCTAGAGTCTCAGAGATGACGTCGCAGCTCAGGCTAACAAGCAGGGGCCCTAAAACGAGCGGCTCCAAAAAGCCCTTAATTAAGGAATATTCCTTATACATTATAGTAGGATCCCTAATATGATTTAAGGAATATTCCTTAGTTAAGGGATATTGCCATTGCAGTCTCTGGGTTTACACGGTGAAGGAGAACCTGGTACGTCTTGATAAGCGCGGAAGGAAGGATGCTGAGGCCATGCCAAACACGTCTCGCGGAAGTGCAGCTTCACAAGAGAGCATATCAGATTGCAAAGCGTTGTACAAGCCGTGGCCTGTGGAACAGGAATCGATTCGCCTCACCTCTAAACACCCTCATGCACTGCATAAATGGGAGTTTCCGAAAATAGGGGACCCTAATATAGTACTCTAAATAGTAGGATCCTTATAAGAAGGTTTGTAAAATTAGGTACCGCTACAGCAGCAGCCGTAGCACACAAAGGTTCTTCATCACGACGATTGAGGTATAACCTTAGATCCCCAATACCCGAGGCAACCGTTACAGCAACAACGACTCCAACACCCAACAACACCTGAAGCCGCGGTTCTGCTGCTGTTTTTTCGTCGTGGTTAGTACGTGAAGTCCCAAAGGGTCCAAGTTTCATTATGGTATAAACTTATAGGGTATTTAGGGGGTCTAAGTTTCTACCATAATGATACTTGGACCCTTTGGGAGTGTAAAGCCACGCCGGGGCCCGGACTGTCTGTTGATCTTGTGGGAGAGCAGCAGCTCCACGACTTGCGCATGTCCTGTAATGTAGCGGCCTTAAAAAAATCTAGTACAGGGTTTCGGGGGCTCCTTACTATAACTATTTAGTATAGCATACCCCGAAATCCTATTCTTCTTCTTCTCCGAGGCTTTAGGAGGGCCGGTCAGATCCAAGTGTTCGTAGAATATATACTCCCGCGTTTGGCTTTGTAAGACAATCAGGGTAATCAAGCTACAAGTCCTGCTGTTCTAGGCCTTGCCAGCAAGTTCCCGAAAGTGCCAAGCCACTTAGTACAGTAGCAGGTCGAAAACTGGGGTTTCACAGAGCTTTCAAAGGCACACCGGGTAACAAAGATTTCAGTATGTGTTTGCCAACCAGTCTGCACAACGAATCTGCGGTCTTCAGCGACATGTCTGGGTGTTGTGTTCAGGCCAAGTTGTTTGTTGAACATTTTCCGGCTTACCTCTTCGATGAAATACCTGAAGCTGCAGCTTGCACGCGTTCACCTGTCGAACCCAGCGAGCCTTTTCGGAGAGTGCAGTAATTATACCTGGGTCTCCTTTTGTTAGGTTGGTATTGTTGGTTGTCGTTGTCTTGCCCTCTCCTTGAATGCTCAAATGGATTTCGCCAGAACTCGTATGACCTGTATTCTGATGCAACAACATGAAGCCTTAACCGCAATCTCCAAACATCGGAGATTATCGGCGACGGTCGAGGGATATGATGTTTACTTTCCAGTGGTTCAGGTCGGGATTCAATCTTGAAGGAATGTTGCATCAATGGCGATCCCAACGCAAGACCTGACAGCCCATGAGAACAAATGCCGAAGCGATGAAACCTGTCTATCGGGGGGAATAAAATATCCTTTTAGTCCCTTTGATACCCTAAACCCCTGATCCCACAGGTTTCCTCGAATGTCTGCTTTATGAGATTATATCATAAAATCTCCTTCCTGATCGAGAACCCCCGATACCTTCACTCCCTCCCAATGGCCCGGTAAAGGCGGGCGGGCCAAAGGCCCGGGTGGCTTTTTCTCGATGTGGCATTCACGATATCAGAAAGGCGGAGTAGGGATGAAATCTGACGAGATCCGTTTTCTCCTCGGTGCTTGTTGGTTTCGAAAGTACGCAAGATAAGCTGTGTAAAGTGGTACCAAAAGGTGAAGCCATGGTGAAGGTATCCTGGCACAAATGGGCGAAGGGCCTCTGCACCATCAAGTACAGCAGCAATGCACACAGAAGGTGCGCCAACAGCAGCCCCGGACCCAGCAGCAGCTGTTCCCAGAAAGGGTCTGCTCGATTGCTCCGCACCAGTGGGAGGCCCTTTGATGAGTAGCCCTCTAGCAGGAAGGTCTGCAAAGGGTTCTCTGTCACCAGGATGCAGAAGCTGAGTCGGGACAGCAAGGTGAAGGCAGAACAGTACGAAAGGCTCTGCACCCTCCTCTCGGTCCTCAGCAGGATACAGAGACCCAGTACGAAGGGCACGTCCCCCACCACATCTTTTACATTGCGCTCCTGGCACCAAAGTTCATAATCTTCTCGATTGATCCAGGTCGACCAAAGCCACCCAGTCCCTGCAGCCAGCAGACCAACACGCTGTGTCATTAAGCCGTTGGGGAAAAACCTTACCGTACTCCTTGCCAGCAGAAAAAGTCCCAAGAATGCTGGGTTCTCAAGCCTTTTCACCAATAGGTGGTTCGCCCCAGCATTCAGCTCCCGTCGCAGCGACTCATGGAAATAGTCGAAGTAATAGTACGCAAAACCGAATAAAACCAAAACTGATTGGAGAGCACTGGCATAGTTCAAGCCTGCTGCTTGAAGCAACAGGAAGCCAAAGCAAGCCAGAATCCTTTCTGTAGCGTCCCTCACTTGCCAGTTGATGGTGAAAAAACGAGAGGTGCAACTCCAAAACGACGACTTACATTCCAAACCATCCATAACTTCGTTGGTCCATATCAGCGTTGAGCCTTCCAGCTTGCTCAAGGTTGTATCCACATACGACAGCGGCCGAGCATGAAAGGCATAGCGACTGCCCGTCCGATCCCACCACACGGACAATACTATCAAAGGGAACTGACGCGCAAATTTCCGAACTAATTTAAGAGCGCAGTTCTTGGAAGCTTCAGGAAAAGATATTTGTCGTTCTGGTTCCCCGAGTGCTAAGTGAAGCGTCAAAACAGTCATCGCCACCACAGCTCTGTAACCTTGGCTGACTTCTGCCACCCTCCTAAAAGTTAAACATTTGGCCTCCTTATTATAGTTCATATACAAACCCAAAAAGCTAAACCTTTGGCCTCCTTATTATGGTTCATATAGAAACCCAAAAAGTTAAACTTTTGGCCTCCTTATTGTTCGTATAGAAACCCCAGAAAATTTCTAGTCCTAAGAGCCAACCAGAAGAACGCCAAGTAACAGAAGGACAAACGCAAGTCCCAGCTTGCCACACGGTCAGTGCGGGTCTTGATTTGTGCCTGTTGTTTAGGGTTTATTAGGGTTTAGGGTTCTGGGTTTAGGAGTTTAGGGTTTTTGTTCCAAAAATTCGGCGGGTTAGGGTTTACTAGGGTTCAGGGTTTAGGGTTTGGGGTCCTTATAATACGGATCCTACTGTTTGGGGTAGTATATTAGGGTCTCCTATTTTCGGAAACCCCCATTTGCGCCTATTCCAAGTGCAAAAACAGTAGCAGCAAGGTGGCTACAGCACGGAGGAAGTCTACCGCAAAGCCAACTGAAGGACGACACAAATCTGCCCATGATCGCTTCAGCGACAAAGAAATCACCACGTGCATTGCAGTCCTCCTTACCGGGTTCATGAAAGGAGCCAGATCTGAAACTAAAAGCGAACATTTGTCTGATAGCCAGAAGTGGTCACACACGGTTGCAGATAAAAGCGTCAGAAACACAACGGCCAGGAAGATCAGCACTTGAAAGGAAACATCATCCATCCGATCACGTAGAGTTGACGAAGCTTCTCCCTCCGGATGGACAGATTCCAACAAACGAGGCCACTCCCAAGCATCAACTGATCGAACAGTCATCGCGACGCGCTGCGCATCTGTGATCTGCAATGTGTATGCAGGCACCAGGTCATTGACCACCTCCTTCGCAGAGCAAACCTTTGGAGCGCAAAATCCGAAATGAAGAACCTGCGACGTGGTTCGAATAGCCGCCGGACCCGTAGCCGAGTCAAAGCCCAGCCGAATCAGAAAGAAACGGCCATGGAAAGCTATGCAGCCACCCACGTCACCATGGCGTTGGCCATCCCAACCGTGAGCCAAATGTCGAAGTGGTATTCCAGAAAACTCAGCATAAACCCCTGTAGGAGGGCCCCATTGAATATTCAGATCCCAACCCCACCGCCTTTGGCATTCTGACATGCCTTGAAACAGCGCCCTGTCACGGAATACTGCACTCTCCTTCCCCTTGAAATCATGATTCTGGTAGTTCCACTCGTTGAGAGCAGGTTCAGTTTGGGGAATGCCCTGCAAACAGCAGGTTTCATAGGAGAAACGTCCGTCCCAGCACGCAGCCTCACCCTTCGGGCCTTTCGTGATATCACAACATAGTTGATATGTATAGCCCTCAATCCAACAGTCGGGATTTCCATTCCCCAAGACTGATGATGCTTGAAGCGCCAGCACGAACGTTCTCCTCAGCACCCGCAACATCAAATCGACCGATTTGACAGTTGTTCCATGCGGAGTTGGGGGCACACGTCAGTTTAATTTGGGACAGCTTGAGCCAAACCCTATTCCAATTATTACCCTACGGCCCCATAGTAGTTCCCTTGTGGGGTTCATATTTAGAATCCTATAAGGTAATCCCAACAAGGAACTACTATGGGGCCTTAGGGTAAGGCCCCTACAGTGGGCAGAAACAGCTTATCACCAAGGTTTGCTACCTAAAAGGGTCCTTGGAAGCAGGGCGCTGCTAAGTGGTACTACAACACGACAGCGTGGGCATGCACAAATTTGACTTCGGGTCCAAATGCTATGTGAGGCTGGATCATTCCGATGCTATCGCCCGTAAGTGTTTTGCAGGAAACCCAAATCAAGGTGCAGGGTTTTGGGTGGGGGTCTGGCTTTCGGTTAAGTAGTTGGTTCCAGAAATAACTCGCCCCGTAAGCTTGGACACGAATGCGCTCATCCTGCTCTCCCTTTTTTCTAGTCGCAGGGCAACGGATCCTTGTGCCATTCAAGTCCAGCCGACGCGAGGCAGGCTCTCAGAGGAAAAGAACACGAGGCCAACTTCAGACTGGGAGCATTCATGTATTTGCTACGGCGCCATGCGCCTCCAGCTAAATCAATATATTGATATACCTATATGTTATCTAGACCTATGTATATATATGTATATATATACACACACGTGATTACACACACAAATAAGTACATGGTATATATACATGTGAAAAGATATAGACTGATGCATGTATGCATCTATGTGTACATATAGACATGTGCATTATATTGATATCGTTGCTTTGCCACTCTTAGCATCGCCATCATTCCCTTGAGGCTTAAGATCTAAGTAGACTTAGATTGTAGTTGCAGGGCTCTCAGGGCCTGTTTTGCTGCTCTGCCACGCTCGGTGACAGGCAGCAGGACATGGGCGCTGAAAGAGCATGCAGTCCGCGACGACTGACTATGACGGGGACTGTGACGAATGCATGCAAGATCCCAAACATGGCATACAGAAACATGAGCGTGCACATACCCATATGCCAATCGATCAGCTTAGCTGGCAACTGATGTACCGTTTTTTTCTATTTGTCTGCCTGCTTCTTGCTCCCGCTCTGCGCAGCGATCTAGACGGATGGATGGATAGGAAGGTAGATAGTTCGATGGGTAAGTAGATAGCGAGGTCGATAGATCGAGAGATCGGCAGATCGATGGATGGATGGACGGGTGGATAGACAGATAGAAAGCGAGACAGAAAGACAGACAGCCAGGCAGGTATTCTGTCTGCTCAGGCAGAGTCATATCCACATGCCACACTTTTGTTTCGCAGAATAAAAAGAAAGTTTGAGCTCCAAAGCGGAGGGCGATGTGCGGCTTCTCGAAGTGCTAAGTAACTTTCAGGAATCTGAATATGATTCAGCCTCCTAAGATCTGGAAATTCCAAGCCACCATCTTCCCAGCCTTTTTGTCTCATGCTGGCGCATTTCCCGTAGGTCCTTTGGCGCCTTTGCCCCTGCCCTTGCCTGGAGGGAGGGTTGGATGAATTTCGGGTCCGGAAGCATCCTTCAATCTGGGGACCTCTGGGCCCGGAACTCTATGTAGTAGCTAGCCGGGTTTCGGGTTTAGGGTTTATTAGGGTTTAGGGTTTAGACTATCTTGTAGGATTTCGAGCTTCAGGTGAACCCCCAAACCCGCATGAACCCTGGAATCCTACAGATTTGCTAGAACTGCAAGCTGATTTAGCGTTCCGGGCTCTTCGGGTCCTGAAACGGCCAATGGGTCTAAACCCAAAACCCTGAACCCTAAACCCTAGACCAGAGCCCTTAACTGGTTTAGGGTTTAGGGTTTAGAGTACCCTAGACCAGAGCCCTTAACTGCAAAACATTTAAAACTCCCAACCCTTCTCGGAAACCTATTGAAAGGAACGCTTGAAAGAACCCATGAAAAAAACCCAAAATGGAAGCCTTGAAACGAACTCTCATAAGAACCCTGAAACGGAGCCCTCGACAAGAACCCTCATGAAAACCCCAAAATGGAAACCTTGAAACGAACCCCCATAACAACCCTTAAACGGAAAAACCCAAATTCCACAACCCAAAACCCCAAACCCTTGAAAGGAACACTTATCGGAACCCTTAATAAGGAACCTGGTCACAGTCTTGCACCCGGGTTTAGGGCGTAATTAATAGGGGTTTATAGAAAGTGTTAAGGGTTTCGGTGCGCTAGTTTGACCGAAATCTGTTGAGACAGTTTTGGCCGAAAGTCTTTCTTTGGGAACCTGATTTCGACTTTGGGCTGGGCTTGGGGGGCCCGGGGCGGTGCTGGTTTTGAATGGGGTTTAGGCAACTTCTATGTACTTCTTTCTTGACGGTTGAGGGTTTGGGTTTAGGGTTTCGGGTCAACCTTTCCCCCCCCTAAGTCCTGACGCCTACAACCTCCGGAAGAGTCTGCCCTGCCTTTGGTAACTCGGATCGGCACTTCCTCCCAGCTGCGCTGCTTTTGGGTTTTAGGGGGTTCCTGGGAACCTCTTAGTCTCTTCCGAATCCATGAATGTATCATGAAAACCCGGGATGATTTAGGGAGGGTTCTATAAGCTTTCACTCTCAGGCCAAAATCAGATACTTAAAAGCCTAAGCCAGGGCTGGTTTTCCTGTTGTGGTTGCGTTGTTCCTTTCGGCAGGAAGAAGGCGCGAACTGGCATCTGGTACTGCTGCACTGTCCCTTGTAGCTCCTCCTGGCTATGGGAGAGCAGGTTTCGAACCTTCTCCTATCCTAACAACTAAGTCTGAGCCCTAAAACTTCGTCCCGTAAACATGTCTTGAGCGACGCGTCGCATGGAAACCAAGAACATCAGGCCACCTCTCGAAAGACTCTTCTACTGCTGGTCAATGCGCTGGCTATGTAAGGAAACCAACTCACCCGACTCCGATCCAGCACTGTCATTGTACCTGAAATTGTAGTATGCATCCGCCTAAAGAGCACATTACCGCCTAGAAGACTTTAAATCCCTAAGCCTTAAACAGTTGAAGAAACTAAGGAAACCAACTCATCTCAGGGGCCCATTACAGCCCACCGCCACCCTACACAACCCTACGAGAACCTCTAAAAGAGCCCTCAAAGGGACCCTTTAAACCCTAAACCTTAAACCTAAACGAAGCCCAAAGGGAGCCCTTAAGGGCTCCTTGAAGGGTTCCTTTACGGGTTCCCCTTCCATGCGCTGTTCTGGCTTTCTCGATCTGAGGCAGGAGTTGTGGCTTCCATTGACTTCCCTAGAATTCTAGACGTTTCCTCCCCTTATTTCAGGGGGGTCAGAATCTGCTCTAAGACAAGCTCCGCGAGCTTGTGAGCTCGCCGCATGAAGTACAGAAGCGAACTTACGTTCGAGGTGTAAAGCTGCCTCCAAACAAATGCACGAAAAGATCACATGATGTCGGGATATGACCATCAACCCACTACACCCTAAACCCGAAATCCCAGTCCCAAACCCAATAGGCGCTGACCCTGCGAACCAGAGAGCAAGGTTGCAAGCCTCGTTGCGGGCTTTTCGCCACGGCCGTCCATCCTCCGGAACCTTGACAGCACGCTTGAAGGTTTAAGTCTGCAGATTTTTTGTTGCAGCCCATGGTGTCTTTTATAAATGATTCTGGAACGGTACGTGCCGAAACTACGAAGAGAGGAATGCGTTTGCATCAGGGTTTAGGGTCTCACGCTTGGAAAGTCTTTGTGGCATCAGATTTTCACTGCTACCGCAATCGTCATCGTCGCATCTTGCTATCATGGATAGTACCCTGTTGTCACCATTGTAGTGTCACTCCTAAGACTTTTTTTCGGGCTGAAGGACTCTTGGGCTTGGGGTTTAGGGAGTTTAGGGTTTCGAGTTTAAAATGTTAGGGTTGCGGGCTTAGATCCGTAAACCGTCGACCTTGCAACCCAGAGCACTAAACCCTTTGCAGTTGGGCCGTTTTGCTTCGGGATGAAACCATTGAGAAAACCTGCAACAGCCTGCTTGACAAGACTGTTTGCTGGGCACAGGCTTGAAACTCTAAAGAGAAGGGGGTTGCAGGAATCATGCTGCGAGTTGCCAAAGCCTCCATATAATGCCAAGAGAGGAGCGTTGGATTCAATAGGCAACCCCGCACATGTCACGCGCACTTCGCATGATACCTACCGACCGAATACAGCAGCCGAAATTGTAAGGCCCACACACAGCTCCAGAAACCGAATCTACTCTTAATGGACTTGACCAGGGCAATGGGTCCAGAGTTTAGGGTTTAGGCATGGGGTTGGAAACAATATCAACCGTCGCAAGTACTCAGACACTGCGCGAGCGGCTTGCGCAACAATAACGGAAACTTGCAACACGGGTGATACTAATGCCGACATGACCCAGTCGACATGATCGCTACACTAAGCATCCGATAACATCCTGGTTGCCTGGCAGATGTTGGCAACCGATGGAGGCAAGCTATGGTGTGCTGTTGCACGTGACATCATAAATGTGGAAAATGAAAGAATACCGAAACTTCTCATATTGACCTAAGTTGGCCGCAATACAACGCATTGCTTCACCCCGTCGGCGCTCATCCCTTGGCCTTTGATACCTAATATAGGCGGACTTAATGCTTGGAACGGGGTTTTCCTGTATTCAGTCCTATAGCAAAGAAACGTAAAGCATGATGTTGGTTATTTTATTACTTATTCGGCTTCTACATTGGTGCCTAGGCCGCATTCCCTGTAGCCTTCCTTACACCCAGCCCCGGCAAAGCCAACCCTACAACGCCTGACCCCCTTGATCCCCACACGGTTCCGAAGCCCGGTACCGGAAATAAAGCCTGCTGTAAGCCCTCAGGGAAAACCCATTAAAGACAGCCCATATGGGGGTTTCGGAAAATAGGGGGGGGCCCCTAATATAGTACCCTAAATAGTAGGATCCTCACTATAAGGACCCCAAAATACGGTACCCCAATTTTCGGAAAGTCCCATATAAG